ACTGTTTAGATTTTCTTATATTTGCTCACTGAGGCCCCCTGGTGGCTCCCATAAAACCACTGATCCGGGCCTGACTTTACTATATGTAGTCGATCAGCTGAGGCGTGTTTGGTGTCTGAAGTTTGCCTCTTTAGTTTTTGCACAGGAGCCATGATGCTAATGCAGCTAACCAGCAATAGAAGCTTTTATTAGGATCATATAATTAGCATGATGCTAACTGCAGGCCTAAATCTTCACTCACGCGTCTCAAAGCGTGTGGAGGTGTTCAGGATCTCTAACAGACTTCATTCTGTGGTTTCTGACTCTGTGTGACTCACTGTGATCTATAAACATGGACTGAAGTACGTTAGCGTAGCTGAACGCCTGAATTGTGTCTGCACTGTTTTTAACATAACAGTGAAAACAGAGTTTAAAGCAAGTCTGTTGTGCTGTTAGCATACTGCTAATTAGCACCATGCTAATATAAGCATCCATTACTTGTTAGGTACATTAGCATCGTAGCTCCAGCGCTAAAGCTAAAGAAGCCAATTTCAGACACTGAGCAGGTCTTGGCTGAGGTAAGAGGGGGAAACTGGGTAAACTGGACTGCAGAACAATCACTTTAATATGGTTTTACGCCCTGCTGGCTCTGATTGGAGTGAAGGACATGAAAGTGTCCACATTAGCAGCTCAGAGAACGAAGATCATGCAATCAAAGACGTCCGCTGATGTTGGGACCCTTGAGAAAACGGGGGCAAAGCGGAATCATGCAGATCACGCTATGAAAAGCTATTTCCGCTTCTTTTGTGTCCTCCTAATTTATTCTCCAGCCTTCAAAGCAGCTTTAATCTCAGGGCGAACACCACACAGGCCCCGGCGCTTCATGTCCTCAGAACCGAGAAGTCATCAAAGGGTCCCGAACAAAAGTTGCTATGAATCTCGGATGGAGCGTCGAGGAGAAACGCGCGTTGGACTCCACCGTATTACCATGGTCACTCTTTAATTAACATGTGGGGCTGATGACCAGCCGCAGATCTGAAGATCCTGAAGGACGTTCAGCTTAAACAGGCTTCCTGATTATGACATGATGATGAACAGTGAGTGGAATACGAGGCAAATCTGACTATGTAAATATGGAGAAAGTAGAGCATTTATGATGATAATCAGCCAGACGTGAAGGAGGGAAGTGTAGCTCTGTGGCTGCTACTACATTTAAGACCTACACAACAAAACAGCTGATCACATGCAGTAATTAACGCACTGGAGGCCCTGACTGGTCAGAAGGCTGCCCCGATTAGACTGTCCTTAACTGGTCAGAAGGCTGCCCCTGATTAGACTGTCCTTAACTGGTCAGAAGGCTGCCCCTGATTAGACTGTCCTTAACTGGTCAGAAGGCTATCCTGATTGGTTAGAAGGCTGTTGTGATTGGTCAGAAGGCTGTCCCTGATTGGACTGTCCCTGTTTGGTCAGAAGTCTGCCCCTGAATGGACTGTCCTTAATTGGTCAAAAGGCTGTCCCTGATTGGTCAGAAGTCTGTCTCTAATTGGTCAGAAGGCTGTCCCTGATTGGAAGGCTGTCCCTGATTGGTCAGAAGCATGTTCCTGATTGGTCAGAAGACTGTCTCTAATTGGTCAGAAGGCTGTCCCTGATTGGAGGGCTGTCCCTGATTGGTCAGAGGTCTGTCTCTAATTGGTCAGAAGGCTGTCCCTGATTGGAGGGCTGTCCCTGATTTTTCAGAAGGCTGTTTCTGATTGGTCAGAAGTCTGTCTGTAATTGGTCAGAAGACTGTCCCTGATTGGAAGGCTGTCCCTGATTGGTCAGAAGCCTGTCCCTGATTGGTCAGAAGCCTGTTCCTGATTGGTCAGAAGACTGTCTCTAATTGGTCAGAAGGCTGTCCCTGATTGGAGGGCTGTCCCTGATTGGTCAGAGGTCTGTCTCAAATTGGTCAGAGGTCTGTCTCAAATTGGTCAGAAGGCTGTCCCTGATTGGAGGGCTGTCCCTGATTGGTCAGAAGTCTGTCTCTAATTGGTCAGAAGGCTGTCCCTGATTGGAGGGCTGTCCCTGATTGGTCAGAAGTCTTTCTCAAATTGGTCAGAAGGCTGTCCCTGATTGGAGGGCTGTCCCTGATTTTTAAAAAGGCTGTTTCTGATTGGTCAGAAGTCTGCCTCTAATTGGTCAGAAGGCTGTCCCTGATTGGAAGTCTGTCCATGATTGGTCAGAAGGCTGTCCCTGATTGGACTTTCCCTAAATGGTCAGAAGGCTGTCTCTGATTGATCAGAAGCCTGTCTCTGATTGGTCAGAAGGCAGTCTGTGATCAGTCCAAGAGCTGTTTATGGTTCTTAACACCTTCTTATTAAAAGTGAAGGAACATCCAGAATAATACGCCACTGTTAATCTACAAAAAACCATTTCCAGTGGTTTTATTTGAAAAATATGCATAAATACACAGTACCATGATATATAAACCAAATCCGCCTTCTTTATTACACCGTGATTTAAATTTTTACCCATACTGCCTGCTACCAGTTTGGATATGAATAATAAAAATACAATAAAACATAATGCATATATAAAAATATATTCAATAAGTTCATGTATTTTGTTTTCTTTATGAGTTTAAAGGTTCTAAAACATTTCAGACTCAGTTTGACACAGCAAATCAAAGTGTTTAGGCTTGTAAACACTGTTTAAAGGCGTTACAGTGTTTACGTCTCCCGTTTGAGAACAAACTGAGGACTGAAACATCAAATAAACAGAGGACCGAACACTTATTCTCACAAATAAACACTGTTCAGGCTTTGAGCGCTGCTGTTTATTAGACACTACAGTGAACGGCCAGTCATTCAGGATCTAATCTGCCTGTTCTGGCTTTAGAAACACATTACTGACTGTTATCACTGGAACAAATAACAACATTTTATTTTTATTTGTAATTGAAATTGAAATTAAACGCACTAAATTTACACGTCGAGCTCCTGAGAGTGTAATTCACTCTTCTGGTGTTTATCTGTGTCTAGCTGGACCGAAATGAACTCTGCAGGTGTTAATGCAGCCCTGGAGATTCAGCTGTGCAGCACAAGTGCAGATGATCATCACACCTTATGAAGAACATCTATATTAGTGCTATGAGGAGTCCTGCAGAAAGCCAGGAAGAGTTATTACAGGGTTATAACCTTAATCTGAAGCCCAAATACAACTGAGACTATTACTATAAAGCTGCATAATACTTCTATAATATATATTTTTATTCTATATATGATATTTACATTACACTATCTATGATACTGTAGCATCCTGAGTGATCCTCACCTGTGTAATGCATAATCTACTATATATGAGTTAAACAAGGGGAACTGAGTAAAGCTGAGTGATCAATAGTCAATAAAATCCCTAATGATCCGCACAGACAGCGTCTCCGTGTCCGAACCCAGATCAGCGTCAGGCTCATGAATCAACACTGATGCTGATGCTCTTCAAACCGGTTTCCGGTAAAAACACCGCACTGATCAGATCAAACACTGCACAAACCCGTCAATCAGACGCTCAAACCCATCTTTCCTACCTTATCGGACCGGATCCGAGCCGAGCAGCTGCGGACCCCGAGCTGCTTCTCTGTTCTCTGCTCTCCGCTCCGTTCAGCTCCTCAGGGCCAATAGAAAAACAACAGGCAGCCAAATGACTGACAGCCGCTCTGGCCAATCGCGGCGTGCGAGGGGCGGGGCTTGGGTTTGACTCGAGCCAATCAGGGATTAGAACTACGAAAACGCAGTTTTAGCACGTTTTTGTCTCGTTGTTAATAAGTTTACTGAGCTGAAGGAAAAACAAAATATAAATCAAACAGCAGCAGATCAGCAAACATTTACACAGACACTGAGGGGACAAGGTGATTAGCACTGAGTAAGGCGTGGCCACTATTTACTACACTGAGACCGCGGGTGAGTTTCTCGTAACTCATGGCCTCAATATTTTAATTTGTGGCCTCAATATATTAATTTGTGGCCTGAATATATTAATATGTAGCATCAATATATTAAATTGTGGCCTCAACATATTAAACTGGCCTCAATATATTAAATTGTGGCCTCAACATATTAACTTGTGGCCTGAATTTGGTAAATTGTGGCCTCAATATATTAAACTGGCCTCAATATATTAACTTGTGGCATCAATGTATTAAACTGTGGCCTCAATATGTTAATTTATCACCCAAATATAAGTACATTGTGGAATGAATATATTATTATAATGTATTAATTCCATATATTTTCCACTATTTTCCATCATCAACATTCCATATAAACTCAGAAGACTCGTGTAGGTTCACTGGTGGTTCTGGATAGTAAATAAAATGTCTATATCTGTGTTGTAGTCATGGTGACCCCTGGTTCCTATCACCACCACTGTAAAGACATCTGAACCATTTCACACCAAACACTCTGAATCTCTCTGATTACATCTCACACACTGAATTATGGGGGAATTTTTAACAATCGGTGGAGTTCCCCTTTAGAATAGAAAAACTGTGTCTTATTTATTTATTTACTTATTTATTCAGTTTGTGACTAAAGTGGGGAGCTGTAAAATATTTCTGAAAAATTCTGTGTAAATTCATTCTATTGTACATTTATGAATGTTGCTAATAAAACATTTATAAATTACTTAATTTGTCTGACTTAACTTGAGTATGTCTATAACTTTACTATTATATATTTGAATGTATATAATTGTTGAATATAATACCATTTATATTATTTTGCATGTAATTTGCATGTGCTGTCAAGCCTTCTGGTTTACTATGGTTAAAAACATTCATTTAGACAAAATAAAAGTCCTGTTGGGCTCCTTATAAGGGCAGCGGACTCTTACCTCGCTGTAAATGTTGATGTATAACTGACTTTTTCCTCAGCAATTAATGACCATATAAAATTCTGCCCATCGTTTTTGCAAAATATTAATAACATAATTTGGTGCTACACAGCTTCCATTCATGGAAATACAAACACTAAAGACATCAGACAAAATAAAAGTCCTGACAGGCTCTTTATAAAAGGCAGGTCATGCTCTTACATATTTAATTTCGCATTTTATTGCTCTGTACAAATCAATAACAATCTGAAATGATGAAAAAACGATGAGGGCGTGGACATTCAGGTTCCTGAGCTGTCTGAATGTCCTCGGAGAGGCAGAGAGAGAAACTGACCGCATCCAGCTGCAGGGGAAGAGGCATCGGAGCAAAAGCCAACGCTGAATCGTCTACAGATCCACCTTAACGTCCACCTTAACTGAAGCCCTTACAGTCATACTGTCACAGAACTAAGCGAACAACAGCAACACTCGTATATACAGACAAAAAATCTTCACAACATTTACAAAAATAAGACATTTTTCCTCAGGGAACTAAACTGGCAGAGCACCTGCGCATTTCTACACCTCCAACTGAGTTTTCTTAACGAGCTTTCCTAAAAAGCTTAAAAAGAACCCACTGCTACTTCTTAAACGCCTGTAAACGACCATTTCGATGCTCCTGCAGCTTCACCGTCAGACCGGAGAGGAGAAAAGTGGCCCTGCTTCAGAAATAAATAGCAAACGTCAACGTTAAATTCAGTCCGCATTCACAGCGTCTTCATCTCATACGGCCTCGCTCTGGATCTTCACCTCCTCCGTCCGGACCTCCTGCTCCTGCTGCGGCTCTTCTGTGACCTGCTCCAGATGGACCTCCATGGTCTGCTCCTTCAGTCCCTCCTCCTCCACCTCTATCAGCACCGTCTCCTCCGCCGAGGCATGAAGCGCCGCCTCCTCCTCCAGAACCACGGCCTCCTCCACGGCCACCACGTCCACCGGCTCCACCGTGACGTGCTCCACCCGCATCCCGTCCTGCAGCACCACTCGCTCCTCGCCCTCCTCCACGCTGGTCACCGCCAGCACGGCCGCGGGGTCAGCGATCACTACCTCCTCCTGCAGACAAGCATCGGAATGATTATTTAGTGATGGATCGATCTATAGATATACTCACCAATAACACAGCCAGGATAATACAAAGTTCACCGAAACTGTTTTTTATTCCCATAAAAAGAGTTTAGATTAATGATAAAATGTTCATTTTCACCCCTTTCACATGCTGGAACCCCAAAAATTTTAGAGATTTTCATTTTTTCCCCCCAAGAGTTTAACAACAATATACATAAATATAAATATAAAATCTGCCATTACTTTTGCACAGGTCACACTTTATGTCTATTGTTTTTCCAATGTAGTAATAATAATAATAAACTCAAAATGCTTCGCAGTAGGGGGAAAAAATGAAATAAAAATAAAATCATACAAAAACAAAAGAAAATGGTAAAATAACAAAAATAAGAAATGTGATGCAATAAAACAGAAAAATGAATAAAGCTAAAATGTAAAAATAACAGGAATAATACTAATAATAATAAACAGTAAAAGTTAAATCAACAACAATAATATAAAAATATAAAAATAATCTTAAGAATAATATCAATAAATGTAACATCTAGGAATTAATGAAAAACAAATTGTGATAATAGTGTTTAGCTGCTTCTTGTTGGTGCCTGTTTAGTCCACATTAACAGATTGTTCCTGTTTTTGGGGTAAAAAAGCCGCCCCTGCTCTTTTCTTGCTGATCTCCGGTCTGTAATCAGGTCTGCGGCTCTGCGTCTGTAACCGCATTAAAACATGCAGAAGTGTGTTCTCTGTAGAGGGTGTGTTAACTTATTCACACTTAGGAAATCAACAAATACCTGGCATTTTTCCAGGGTGCACAGACTTTTGCACACGACTTTACAGGCCACATATTTGAACATATTCAACAGTAAACATGAGCCGTCTGTGATGCGCACTGTGCGCTCAGGTTAGGGTGACACCTGCTGGGCTGCGCTGGTATTACGAGCTGTTAATTTCTCTCTTCTGTGAGGTTAGAAAGGTGTGTGTTCGAATAGCCACGCCCACCCGTACCTGGAAGCCGTGCTGGTCCCTCAGGTGAGCCCCCAGGTCCCGCGGAGCCGTAAACCACTGATCACAGAAGGTGCAGTGATTGGGCTTCTCACCTGTGTGGATCACCAGGTGATCTTTAAACTGCTCCCAGCTGTTAAACACCTCACTGCACACCTGAGAGCAGAAACAGGTAAAAGAGTCAGTCAGAGATCTGAACACTGCACAACAACAATACAATAATAATAATAATTTTAGTTGATAAAAGGTGCATTTTATTCGTTTTTTTTAAAGTTGTTTGTGTACATTTGTTTTAAATGTAGTTTTATATATACACATATATAGAAATTGTCGTTTGACAATAAAATCTCCAAAACTGTAATTTTACATTCCTAACTCATAACAGATAATAAGGTTAATGTAACAAAGTATTTTTTCCAGGTAATTTTGGAGCATTTCTGTTTGTTCCCTCATGAAATTTTAACAAAAGGCAAAGAGGAACTGGACTTTTCAAATTATGCAAAAACATAAAACCAACAAAAACGGAGATACAAGATTTTTCTGTAACAGCATATGAATATTTTGTTGCTGAAGGGAAAAAATTATTTATTCATTCACTCACACTCACACACACGTGTATATATATATATATATATATATATATATATATATATATATGGGTAATAATACAGAGTAGTGTATTGTATCATAACTAGCATGTAAACTTGGTTAATGTGTTAGATCAGAACAATAAAAAGCCATTTTTGCTAAAAAATATTACACTCTTATACAGTTGAATGCTCTAATAAACATATTAATGTAGGACATTTTCAGCCCCTCTACTCCTGCTGTACTGAAAAATCGTCATTTAGCACTGAATTCTGAATATTGAGATTTCTTACACAATCAATAAACATAAAATATAAGATAATATAATAAATAAAAGAGAACACTGCAATAAATGAATGAATGAATGAAAGAATGAATGCTTTGAGATGATTTTCTATATGTGCTGTCTGTCTATATGGCTTATATACTGTATTGTTAAGCCGTTTAGAGGTTAATGTAGAGTCAGACTGATGGTGGTGTTGGAGACGATCTGAAGCCCACCTGACACTCGTACAGCTTCTTTCGTCCTTTCTTGGCTCCTGATCCGTTCTGGCAGGCGGACATGTGACACTTCAGCGTGCTGTTCCGCGCAAAACGCTCATGACAATCTGGACATTCGAAGGGCTTCTCACCTGCACAGACATCACAGAGAGAACACTGACCAACTGTAGAACAGACTCAGTTTATATCACAATACCTACATTTAGAGCCAGTTATTCATTCAGCCTAATGAGAAACTGTAGAACAGACTCAGTTTATATCACAATACATACATTTAGAGTCGGTTATTCATTCAGCCTAATGAGAAACTGTAGAACAGACTCGGTTTATATCACAATACCTACATTTAGAGTCAGTTATTCATTCAGCCTAATGAGAAACTGTAGAACAGACTCAGTTTATATCACAATACCTACATTTAGAGTCGGTTATTCATTCAGCCTAATGAGAAACTGTAGAACCGGCTCAGTTTATATCACAATACCTACATTTAGAGTCGGTTATTCATTCAAAGAATGCATTAGTGGGCGGAGCCTGGAGAGGGACATGGTTGTGCATGAAGTGAAGGAACACCTGGACGCCCGTTCGGTACCTGTGTGTTTCCTTAAGTGCTCTTTGAAGTGTCCGAAGTGGTCGAACTGCTTGTTGCAGTAGACGCAGACGTGCACCTTCTTCTTCTGCCGGTGGGACTGCTCCTCCGCCTCGAAGTGGTAGGTGTTCAGGTGCTGTTTGAGCGCCCCCTCCCGAGCGTACGGCCTCCCGCAGTGCTTGCAGGTGAAGGGCTTCTCCAGGCCGGCCGTGTGCGTCTTCATGTGCTGCTTCAGGTGGTAGAAGAGCTTAAAGCAGCGGTCACACTTATCACATCGGAACATGTTGTCCAGCTGAGAGATCTGGACCTCCACCACCTCCATGCCCTCCAGGGTTTTGGTGGCCATCACAGCTTCTTCCTGCAGGACCACCGTCTCCTCCTCGCCCTTCTTCACCATGTGCACCGTCTGCTCCCCCTGCTGGTATTTGCTGGTGATGTCGGCCAGCAGAGCCAGAGCCGAGTCATCTGAGGACTCCGTGGTGGGGCTGCAGGACACGGACAGGACATTATCATTATTTATTAACACTTTGGTGAGTGCGTCATGTGACGTGGTTTAAGACTGGTCTGCGTTTTTACAACTAGGACACTGTCTGGATGACCAAAAGTCAATATTAAGGTTATACAGACATACACTGACCAGGCATAACATTCTGACCACCTCCTTGTTTCTACGCTCATTGTCCATTTTATCAGCTCCACTTACTATATAGGTGCACTTTGTAGTTCTACAGTTACAGACTGTAGTCCATCTGTTTCTCTGATACTTTGTTAGCCCCCTTTTACCCTGTTCTTCAGTGGTCAGGACCCCCATGGACCCTCACAGAGCAGGTACTATTTGGGTGGTGGATCATTCTCAGCAATGCAGTAACACTGACGTGGTGGTGGTGTGTTAGTGTGTGTTGTGCTGGTCTGAGTGGATCAGACACAGCAGTGCTGTGATGAAAAAATGTGCCCGTTTCTTTCAGCTCAAGTTTAAGAAACATGACAGTTGTTGACCATATCAAACAGTACCAGCCGATATTATCAGCTAGGCTTAAATTTTTAGCATAAAATTAGTTTTAGTTTTGCAAAAAGTGCGATACAAATACAAAATATTATTATTATTATTATTATTATTATTATTATTATAGTCATATGCAAAGTTTGAACACAAATCTTTTTGTTGAACACATCCTCTACTGAGACACAGAATAACATTTTTCTGGCAAAATTTCTATTTGCTGGGTTTAACATATTGGAAACAATAAAACATTAAAAGATGTACAGGCCATATTCTAAGTTTTATTTCCCCCCGATATGTTAAAATTATTACATAAACAGTAAGTGTGCATTAAAATATGGAGAAGTGTGTCTCTGTAGAGGACGTATTCACTTATTTAGACCCAGAAAGTCAACAAAAACAGGGAATTTAACCAGAGTCGCCCAAACTTTAGCAGACAACTTTATACTATTATTATTATTATTATTACTTTTGTTGTTTATAATTGTTAGGTTTATTTGCATATTGCAGCCTTCTAAGATATTTGTGGATGCAGGGAAAGAGCAGAACTGCGCCATCTGCTGGTTGTGCTCAAAATCCTGCTATTAATTTCTCCACAAGAAAAATCTCAATGACAGATTAAAAATCACCTTAAGCTTTTCGCTGGCGCTCTGTCACTGTACAAGGGCATCAGCTGCAAATACTACATAATAACACTGAGCCTTGTTCTCCAGTATCTTCCTAAGTGTGTTCTAAAGTGTGTTCTTGAGAAAGATCCGAAGAAAAAGTCTCCGTCAGATTCATGACGTGTTCTTAAAGCACAGAACTGTTCTCTCCTTTGTGCTCTTGAGTGAGTGTAGATTCTGTTCTTACCTAAGAATGAATCCCACATAAGAGAGCACTGGAGAGTCAGAGTCTTCTTCAGAACTGCGTAAGTGGGTTTAAGAAGGAATTTCTTCTTAAGAACAGTTGGTGAATGAGGCCCAGAGTTATTACTGAGTCATATAACTAAACAAAGACTTAACTACAAAACTTGTGTGATAAAAGCGTCACCAGCCCAACAGACTCTGGAGAAAAGCCTGTAAAACTGTATTTCACTACCATTTAATCATCTGCATCACCGATAAAGTGTCAAATATCAATATGGTGGCGATATGTTGGACGCTTTTGTTGTAGAAGTGCATCTTCTCCAGTTTATTATTAACCCACGTTTATGAAGGCAAACAGCAGGGGGCGCTCTGACCACTTCCCATCACTACTGCGCAGGTCGATATTGTAACACAGATTAATAATCGATGTGTGCTGTGCAGCCGTACTCTGTGTTCGCTCGTCCTGCGTCCACCACCTCCTCCAGCCCTCCCTCCTGCACCTCGATGGCGTCGTCTCCGACCTCCACCTCGATCTCCACCGTCTCCGTCTCGGCGGACGGAAGCGTCTCCGTGATGACGTTGGAGGTTTCCGCGATCTTCCTCTTCTTCGCTTTGCTCCTCTCGGCCAGGACCTGCGACCTGCTCAGCACGGTGATGCCGTTCATCCTGCGAGGAGAAACCACATACTTAATTACTTAGTCAGGCTGCATCAATGTGACGATTCACAAAATTAATTAATCCAGACGATACAGACCTGTCCCCATTTTTAATACAGCAAAAATAAGGGGTGTCTACAAATAGGCCTCATGTCAAAACATTAAACAGCCCATATTCTTCACTTTTCTTGCATGTTAGTCTGTATTCAGACTGCAGGCGAATCAGATTCGTTTCTCAAATCAGATCTTTTGAGTCGACTGTCTGCTCTGTTATCTGTGAGTGATCAGATCGGATTTGTGTGTTCAGACATCACCAGTCTATCTGCATGGGTTGCCAGTAACTACGTAGCTATCGTCATCTCCCCTCCAAACTCCTCAGAACTCTCTTCATAGTCATGAATCTTTGGAGCTCTTCTAGAAGCCCAGCACTTCATCACTCTGGACTCGACATCGTCGCTGTTTGTCGCGTTGTGAGTGACAAAAAAGACACTTTGAAATCCAATCTGAGCGTCCAGAGCGTCCAGACCGAGACACATCTGTACAAATCTGACTGGAGTCGCATTTCAAACCAGCTACAAATGTAGTTTGGATCCGTTTTGCACAAATTCACGTTTTTTTGCTGTTCAGACTTTCAAAAATCAATCTGGATCCGCCAAAAATCAGATTTGGGTGGGCGGTCTGAACAAGGCCTTTTAGTTTTTTCCCTTTTGGTCTACTTAAAATATTTATATTTTAGTGATTTTATGTACCAAAAAATGATCATGATCATATCTGAAAATAGTCATAATAGAAACGGCCGCAAAAAAGTGCACACTTTACTGAATATCAATACAATTAAATATAATTATTTTTAATTAAGTATGAAGTCATTTTTTAATTCCAAAACTGATGAATCAGTGCATTTTTATACTTCTAGAGTGGAAAATCTGTTATGTATATTTTGTCCCCTTTTATACGCACGTCTACGCTGAGTGTGAGTGAACAGTCACCTGTTGTTCAGAGCTTTAATGGCCTCCTGCATCTGCAGATACTCAGCCGCCCTCCACACGTCGTTCACCTCCTCCTCTCCGTTTACCGCCAGCGTGGCCGTGTAGGTGAACTCCATCAGGTGACGGAAAGCTGTGTTACTCACTCCTGTTCAAACACAACAGGGAGAGAAAGGAGAAACCGATCAAGGCTTTTTAACACACCGGAATTCAGATCTTATAGTTTGTTAAACACAATGTGCGTCTATAAATACATGCTGAATGTTATTATACACAATATACCCCAAAGTATCGACTCAGTTTGTGAATCTTCTGCCCTGCCAGATCTGCTAGATCTGCCCCAGCCAGCTGTAAGTGCTGTTATTGAAAAATGGAAGCGTCTAGGAGCAACAAAAGCTCAGCCACGAACTCACAGATCGAGGTCGCTGAGTACTGAAGTGAATTGAATCTCTCACTACAGAGTTCCAGACTCCCTCTGGAAGCAACATCAGCACAAGAGCTGAGCATCAGGATCTTCATGAAATGGGTCTTCATGTCTGAGCAGCTGCACACAAGCCTAAGATCACTATGCTCAATGCCAAGCGTCGGCTGGAGGGGTGTAAAGCGCCGCCACTGGACTCTGGAGCAGTGGAACCGTGTTCTCTGGAGTGATGAATCAGCTTCTCTATCTGTCAGTCTGATGATGAATCTGGGTTTGGTGGATATCAGGAGAACGTTACCTACCAGAATGCAGAGCCAACAGTACAGTTTGGTGGAGGAGTGATAAACAGTACAGTTTGGTGGAGGAGGGATGATGAGCTGGGCTGTTTTTCAGGGTTTGGGCTCCTCAGTTCCAGTGAAGGGTGATGTTGATGCTGCAGCACAAAGACATTTTACACAGTTATCTGCTTCCAGCTTTGTGTCAGCAGTTTGGGGAAGAGCCTTTCCTGTTCCAGCATGACTGAGCCCCTGAGCACAAAGCAGCTCCATAAAGACATGGAGTGACCAGTTTGGTGTGGAGGAACTCCAGTGGCCTCACAGAGTCCTGACCTCAACCCCACTGAACACCTTTGGGATGATCTAGAACGTCAACTGTGAGCCAGACCCCCTCGCCCACCATCAGTGTCTGACCTCACTAATGTTCTTCTGGATAAATGGACAGAAATTCACACAGACTCTCTCCAACATCTTCTAGAAAGCTTCCCAGAAGAGTGGAGGCTGTTACAGCTGCAAATGTCCATGGTTTGGGAACCAGAGGTCCAAAGCTGGGAGCCATGAGTTGATTCACTTACCTTCTATCTCCACCAGAGGCTCCTGAGTAAAGTCCTGGAAGAACTTGTGGAAAAAATGGCTGCAGGCCGCCAGCACCGCTTTATGGGCTCTGAACTGATGACCTGCAGCAGAGAGGAAAACAGCCGTCAGGCGGTACGACAGCAGGATTAAATATCAACAAAGACGTTCCACAGAGCAGCACATTAAACCCAGCTGAGAAGAACATTCAGCACAGCGTGGAGTTTTACAGTGATGTTCTAACTGATTTATCAGACGGTGATCAGCCTATTTCTCACTGAGAACATGGAAATGAGACCTGGACAACCCTGAAAACTCAGCGTGAAAGAGAAATCGCAACCTTTTCTCTTTCCGTACCACTGAAGGGTCTCTGAGCGCTAGCTGGTCATGAGGGGTTCGGACTAGAGGTGGGCGATATGGCAAAACTATTATATCGCGATACTACAGACATTTTCACGATGCACAATAAGCATCACGGTATTTAGTTTTTCTGAGATTTAATGAGTTGGAACAGACAAAATAGAACCTGTAGTGTCACATATAAAAAATATAACAATAATAACAATAATAATAATAATAATAATAATAATAATACACACACATCTTCTAAGCCGCATATCCTTCTGGGTCGCAGGGGGAGCTAGAGCCTATCCCAGCAGTCACTGGGCAGAATAATATATAACAACAATATAATAATAAACTTACAACAATGTTTCACGAACTGCACTAAATCCATTTAAACAGGACTAATTATTCTCACTTTTTAATGAAACATGTAGTCGGTCAGCATTTTCCACAATATGCTTAGAAAAGCTCATTGTGACAATTTATCACAATAACAAAAAATACTATCATATTGCCCCGCCCTATTTCTGACATCATTTCTCAAATATGCGTCTGTCTCAAATTTCATTTTCAAAGTACATCACGACACTAATAAGCTTTTCTGAGCACATCGTGGAAATCGTCAGTCCTTAGAAACACTTTCTGACAGCAGGACTGATTACAAAACAGCATAATTAGTCCTGTGTAATTAGATTTGGTGCAGTGTGTGAAACTTTAAATTAAATTAAATTAAACATTAATTAGATCACTGTATTTAAAGACTTTGAAAGCATTCTTAAATGTGGCACCACTTTGTCTGTTCCAACGTATCAGATGTCAGGAAAAATAAATATCGTGACACATCATGTATCGTCAAAACTAGTATAGCGGCATTATGTTATTTCCATTTCGTCCAGCTCTAGTTGGGGTCCTCAGAGAGTTCTCACACGCTTTTATCAGATTTTACCTGCATTTCCTCCTGATTTTGTTGTACTTGTTCCTTTATTTTTCACTACTTTTACTGCCTTAAATCATTTTTAATCTGTACGCTCGAGAGACAACAGGACAGAGAATCCACTCAGGAAAGCGCAGCTCAGCGCAGCTCAGCGCAGCCAGAACGTTTAGAGGAGTTTTAGTGTTAAAGAGGTGAAACATCTCACTGAATCAGAACAGCGCAGTGTGGAACCTTCAAACAGACTAAAAGCGTTTGATGAATAAATTAATTAAAGCGGAGTTTCAACTTAATTTTGGACAAATGATTATCTTAATTACACTTATTTTATATTGATTTATATCTATTTTGTATTATGTTTTCGCGATCTACGCTCTAATGACTGTAACTGACACTACATGGTAACCAGCGCCGTCCTCTCAGGCTTTGTTCAGCAGTTTCAGTGATTTGGGTCAGTTTTGTACAGAATTCTGTTAGACTCGGGTCAGGTTTGAACTCAAATGTGACGATGTGGTCTGGTTTGGACAGAATTTGCCAGGTTTGGGTTGGATTTAGACTCAAAACTTGATTCTGCACGCTGCGTCGGGCTCAGACAGCAAGTTCTCAGGCTGTATTTGTGTTTGGATCAAGTTTCAGGCCCAGTTAAAGCTCTGCAAGGCGAAGCATGATATTATTGGTCAATTATTAGTTATTTAGAGGCGGAGCTAAAGTCACTACATTTAGATGGAGGAATGTGAGAAAGCAAGAATTTACTCTTTCAAATGATAAAATAAATCATGCTGAATATGAGCTGATACATGAGCTAATTTTTTTATTTAAAATATAAAAATTACTGCTATTATTAAATACCGATCTGCACTGTTCAATAATATCTTCAGTGTTATTACAGATCAGCTAACAGGGTTTCGTGTGACGTTGAAATATAAACTACAGTTAATTAACTCATTATAATAATAATTAATTAAATCAGGTGTTATTTATGGTATTATTTTTAAGTTCTAGATGTAAATACAGTGTCAGACTCACCGTCCACGATCAGAGTGATGTCTGTGAACTGGTCCAGCTGCCTCTGCTCGTTCAGCTTATCCAGCATGACCTTATAATGGGCTGGAAACTCATGGCTGTGATCAACATCTCCAGCCTCAGACATGGTTCAGCCCTGAGAAGAAAAGAGACAGACAGAAATCATCAATACGTCAGACAGAGCAGGAGGAGACGTCACTCCTACACTCTTAAAGATGGTTCTTCAAGGGTTCTTTAGTAAAGACGATGGTTCTATACAGAACCACTGTCTCAAAGAACCCTTTGCATGCTGGTGAAATGGTTCTTCAGATTGGAGAATGTGTTGTAAATGGTTCTATTCAGCACCTTTTTGAAAATAGTTCTGGATCTTCTATTGTTACAAGCTTGACATCATAACAATAGAAGAACCCTTTTTGGTGCTGTATAGAACCCTATGTAATACATTCTCCATCAATGAAATTGAGTGTTCATTGTTCTATACAGAACCACCATCTTTACTAAAGAACCCTTGAAGAAACATGTTTTTAAGAGCGTAATGTAACTCGAGATCTCAAGAAAGCACACAAGCCGTTATCACAGGAAAACAGGATAAATAAAATATATGAATCTTATATGGGGTCTTTAAAGACGCCCCCCTCGCAAAATACATTTATGGTGATTTTGTGATCGGGCTGCCATTCGAGTACCACCGACACTACATTTACACACATACATAAAAGACGTTTTAAATAACGTGTCCTTCACAGAGACTCGAGTTCTGTTTCAGATGAACAACATTAAAACATTAATAAAACCATTCAGCACTTAGAAAACAGCTCCAGTCCACTGAAACCACCTTTTACCTTCAAATATAATCAATAACACTTCAGAAATCGGAGGATTTGTGCACTAATGTATGTACGAGTTTAACAACTCACGCTCGACACGTCACTCTTCAGAAATCGTCCATTATAGGTTATGAAAAATGTACATTTTAGTCCCTCAACATTCACTCAGCGCTGTTATCTGAACACATTCACGCTCTGATAACATCCGTGGGAATCCTGTTTTCTTTATTTACAATAACTGATTGGTGACTGTTACCTGAATTATACACTGAAAGCAAATTATTAATCCAAAAATGCTTTAAATGTTGAAAAAAAAAACTAAAACTGCTTCACAAATGTAAAGAAAACATATCTAAAACATCCACTTTACCACGTTATGCAAAAATAAGAATAAAAAGCTGTGTCTGGATAGTGAGTGTTCATTTGAGGAGAAAAACACTAATATTACAACAAATACAAACAACATTAATATGATAAGTAGAGAATTTATGTATGTAAATATGTTGGTTTAACCATTTCCTGCCCTCTCCTCGAGGAAGCCCAGTATTATCTGTAGTTATCATCCAATATCTGCTTCATCTAATCAATACTCTAATCAATATTTCATTGAATTAGGAGCTGCTGACAGAGTTCAATAAATCCATGTGATGCTGGAGGAGAAATCTGGAAGCAAATTTTGTTCTTCAAAGCAGCTCACAAGAAATCTTTTAATGAAAACAAGAAATTCTTGTACATTTTTACTGTATTTGTGTTTATTTGCATTTATAAATGCAAAGATTATCATACATTATGGTATTTTTACAAATAAATGGCCTTAAATAATATGCTTAGGTATCTAAAATTTTGCACAGTACTGTATGTGTATATATGTATGTATGTATATTTATGCTTTTACCAAAATGAAATATTTTTAAAAATGTAGTTAGTTTAGACAGATATTAGTATTAATTTAGTATTATTAGATAATTAATATTAGTACTTATTGATACTCAGGGCCACCCCAGTTAAATGCATGTTTTCTTAGATTCAGTATTGATAAGTGCCAAAAAAATGAAGATTCACTATTAATTAAAGCTCTTAATGGCAGACCAATCATGGAATCTCCCTGCACTGTTTTCCAGCACTGTATTGAAAATTCCTTCACAGAAAAATCACAACTTTCACACTTTGTGCATTTTTGAGGGGAGTGTGAAATAGATTCCTACACATGATTAGATATTATAACAGGAAACTCATAACACCACAGTAGTGCTCGGGATGATGTGATAACGTGAACACATTGTTCACGAGTGTTTACTGGTGAACACGTGTTTTTTTTACAGTTTTAAGGGTGAGGGTGATGTGGGCCGCATGCAGGACGGCAGATACGGGAGACCTGATGAAGTTCAGAGTAAAAATAAAGCGCTTTAATTAAAACCCTGAATGAATAAGAGCATCACTAACACAGTCTGTGTGGAGGTGTGGAGGATGGAGGGCTCTAAAGCCAAACATGGCCCAGAAAATCAGGCTAATACAAACCCGAACAGCCGGAGAAACGCTGACGTTTCTGAAAACACCCACATTTATAACACAGAGAAATACCGCTGTAATTCAGTCCATACAGGTTTGTTAAAGTCCAACTTAACACAGTACAACGAGGTTTCCTCTCTGAATTTCCCGTTCCACCTTAAATGCTGCAGCAGTCGCATTCCGGCGCCTGAGGCTGCTGAACGCAGCTGCAGCTCCATTTAAGGTGGAACGGGAAATTCGAATCTCCATCTGAAGCTAACTAAGTAGCTTCGTCACAGCAGGAAACCCAAATTCCGCCTCCAAACACAAAGACTACAGACTTATTAACAGCATCAAGTCATAATACAGCGATATGCAGCCATCTGAAGGACTTCAGGCTCATAAAAACGAGTTAAAAAGCACAAAAATGAAGCTAAATAAAAGTCCACTCCGGTAAACACTCGCCATTAGGGATATGGTCATTGCCGTTACGTCATCAAATCGCGCATTTAAACGCACAAATCGGCCTTTTTATCGATCAAAACGGGCTCGTAATCGATCACGGTGGTTCTGACCGATGTGAATTTACCTCGGTGTGTCTCTAAAGTTGTGTGGAGCTGTTTTTGTGGCTCTCCTGGTCGCTCCGCTCCCGCCGCGCTGCCCTCCGTCGATCCCCGAAAAGGGCGGCCGCTCCGGACTACAACTCCCACAAACCCCTGCGGCAACAGCGAGCGGGGCGGGGCGGGGCCTGTGGGTCCGCCGTTGCGCAGCAACAGTTAGGCACGCCGGTGACAGGAGCTAAACTAGCTTTGCTAAATTTGAACACAAAATAAAGAAATATACATTGATCCTCTAACCTTGATTAAATGGTTTATATCACACAGAGCGGTAAAGCCCCTAATAAGCCCATCTAAAATTAAGTTAACATATTTTTAAAACGTTTTAAATGATTTTATTGTCCATATGTAAAAGACATGCATTCCACATATTTTTCAAAATATGACACAGAGGTACATATTAAAATCTGACACCACATAAAATTCATATGAGCATATATTGCCATATGTTTAAATATTTATAGACAAATATTTTTTTAAAAATGTGTTCTTTTAAAATTAGCAAATACCTGTACATATTTTCTTCCATATGGGAGTGAAATAAAGGGCAAAACTTTATTTCATCATAATCCAGCAAGTTTTGTACATTTTATTTTTTGTTAATGAAATAAAAAAACAGAAAATGATGACGTGTTGCTAATAAGGCTCAACATTTAGACCTTTGACATAGTCGGCGTCATGCCCATACTAGGAATTTCTGGGTCTGAGCTCCTTTTTTATGACAAAAATGAGCAACATTTTCCAGCTATGACATCCTGAGGTGAAAAATAATGTTCCAAAGCTGATATGTTTTTGCTGTACAGACATTTTTCCTCAGATCTTCCGTATTATGATGTTGTTAATGAGCCGGAATTTTACTACGTTCAAGTTAATGCTGTGTTTGAAAGTCCTTCTTAGTGATTTTTGCTCATCTGAGCTACAAAGTGGAGGAAAAACATGAAAAGCACTATTAGCAACAAGCTAGCCAGCAAACATTAGAGATATGAGTGATAACTTTGGCGTTCATAACGTATTTACCTTCTCAAAATAGTGAATGTTATGGTCAGCGTTGTAGTTTGTGTGACTGATCACATGTAGTTCTTTATTCCTGTTCAACAAAGTGTGAAATAAAGGGGGTCCTGAAGTGTCCAGGACCTCCTAATTAACCCCTTGGACCCCCTGAATATCTCAAAATCAACTACGCGTGCCTGAAAATAACCTCTTTTTGACGTTCTGCTGTCTGTCAGAGATAAACAGATGCTCAAATCCAGAATCAGTGGAGCTGATTGTTTATCTGCTTCACCCACAATCAGCTTCTGTCTCTGGTGTTCTTAACTAACTAGAGCTGCAGCACTGCTCTGCCTCAGGGTGGCACTGCAGCAGACCGGTTCACCCAGTTGGTCCTTCATAGTCTAGAAACTGTAACTCTGCCCGGATTCCTCCTTCCTACCGCACTAGAACAGTGACTTTACAGAAGAGGAGACAAGGAAGATCTCAGTTACTGTGAGGAAGAGCGCAGAACCGCACTAGAACAGAGACTTTACAGAAGAGGAGACAAGGAAGATCTCAGTTAATGTGAGGAAGAGCGCAGAACCACACTAGAACAGAGACTTTACAGAAGAGGAGACAAGGAAGATCTCAGTTAATGTGAGGAAGAGCGCAGAACCGCACTAGAACAGAGACTCTACAGAAGAACAGCTGATAAAACAGACATTTACTGACACTGAAGCATCAGCGCCGCTATGGAGAGAGAGTTAGCAGCCAGTACAGACCAGCAAACACAGCTCTGAACAGCTGTTCACACAGAAAATCATCATATTTTACATTAAAACACTAAAAAGTGCTGAACTGCAGAAAATATGACGATTCTTAATGTTCCACACTGATTTTCAGACTTTGGGACTCATTTACTTCAAAACAATGGGATCTAACTGCTCACCATGTGGCCATGAGGGACAGGGATGCAGCCTCACTTGTGGCTCTGAAATGCAGGGGTGTGGCTATAATAAGACTCCGCCCACAGATTAAAACTGTGTTTCGGTAGTGACGTGAACTTGTTCAGTCTTCAGCAATTTTTTCAATTTTTCAACTTCATTTTAAAAGCAATAAAAATATTTTTTTTAAAAATGTAAGCAATATTTTCAAAAGCACGAATGAAGGGGTTTGGGTTTGGGACAGACTCCTCCCACTAGAAAGAACCCTATAAATGATGATTTTGCATATTTAGTTTATTTTGCATATATTTAGTTTATTACTGTCTGTTTTACTGCCTTGGATTAAAAAACACCAGACCAGACTAGTTGTAAATATCTAAGATCAGTGTTTTTATATTTTTTTCTGTTGGAGTTTTAAAGTACGCTCTTAAAAAGACGGTTCTTCAAGTGTTCTTCAGTAAAGACACTGGGCCTCATTCTCCAATATCCTCCTAAGTCTGTTCCTAAGTGTGTTCTTGAGAAAGGTTCTAAGAAAAAGTCTCCGTCAGATTACTGCCGTGTTCTTAAAGCGCAGAACTGTTCTCACCTTTGAGCTCTTGAGTGTGTGTAGATCCTGTTCTTATCTCAGAACAAATCCCAGATAAGAAAACATTGGAGACTCAGAGTCTTCGTCAGAACTGCATAAGTGGGTTTGAGAAGAGATTTCTCCTTAAGAACGTTTGGTGAACGAGGACCATTGGTTCTATATAGAACCATGAACGCTCAAAGAACAATTTGCATGCTTAAATGGTTCTCTGCATGGTGAAATGGTTCTTCAGATTGATGGCAAGATGGATGTTTTTTTCTTAGGACCTTACTATATATATACTATAAAGGTTCTGCTATTGTTATAATGTCAAGCAAGAGATTGTGTTCTATATAGAACCACATACAACACTTTCTCCATCAATCTGAAAAACGTTTTCAGCATGCAAATGGTTCTTTGAGTGTGTCTTTACTAAAGAACCCTGGAGGAACCGTCTTTTTAAGACTGTAGACTTACTTTCTTCAGCTTTGGAACATGTTTGTTTATGATTGTGTGAAATAGAGGAGATTCATTTTCCCATAGAGACGAACAGCTCAGACCCAGAGGTGCTGATATGGACGCGACGCAACTGCAGAGCTCGATTAATCCGTTATCTGATCAGTTTATTAGGACAGCGGCGCTTCCCTCGGGCCTTATGAAGATAGATTATAACAAAAGTGCTTAAATATGTGCAGCAGATGTGAAACAGTTTGGCTCAGCAGTTCTATTTGACCTGAGGTGACCCCTCCTCTCTCCAGTTTCCGGATCAGCTCTTCCAGAAATGTGCTTAAGTCTGCACTTAAGAGAGCCGGACTGACCTGCTCAGTGTCCCTAACCTCACACCTGTGTGTGGAGGGTCAATCCTTCTTCAGTCCATGTCTCTGAGCTCTGAGCACAAACATGAAGGCCTTTTAAACATCAAACACACGGCTTTTTGATCACTTAGTTTATGTTAAGTGTTTTGTCACGTTGTTTTTGATGTAGAAAAGTACGAAAATATAAGAAATTAAGACAGACTTTTTATAACTAACATGAATATGTTACTTTAAACCAACCTCTGTGGCAATTATATAATTATTTATTTCATTTAAACTCTTATGCTTGTGTGTTGGGTGAAAAGTGGAAAGTGATGAAGATTTGAGGTGACAGACCTTTACAGTAGGATTCTGTGGATGAGGACATTATATAAGGCCAAAATTATTAAAAAGACTAATCAATTTTAATCACACATCTTGTAATGTGAATAAAATCTCTTTTTAAGGTTATGTAGGTTCAGTGTTGAATGAGTTAATGAGTAAACAGTACAGTGTATATATAGTTATATAAGTTTTTTTAGTCATATTTCGACTGATACTGTTGCAGAAAAGTATGAAAATCTAATGCAGAGCTGCTAGATGTTAATCCAAAATATAACCACATTTTACTTGCATTCTTTTCTAATTTACTACAAGGGTTTTTAGTGCAAATGATACTATCAGCATAACAGTTTGAGTGGAAAGTAGAATCTTTGAAAATGATTATAAATTTCAGAATTTCCTGGTATTTGGTGGCGTCCTCCTTCTGCTTTACTGACAGTAAGCACTCGAGCTGCATGGACTCCACAAGCTTGTGTAAAAGTCGTTCAAACCCAGCTGAGAGTCTGAACTCGAGCTTCACTGTAAGAGATCAGACTAAAACGCTTTCAGTACAAACAGCTCAACATGATCAGTTTCACAAATCAGCTTCAGTTTGAAAACTGACTAAATAATACTGGAGAGTCTCCAACATTTCTTCATTTTAAGCCTCATAACTTTCATTGTTTTTATGTTTAAAAATTATTTCTGTTGTTTATAAGATAAGATAATCCTTTATTAGTCCCACAGCGGGGAAATTCTCAGTGCTACAGCAGCAAAGGGAGAGCAGGACAGTCAAGAAAAAGACAAGAAGTAACAAGAAAAGAAATTAACAAGCAAGTAATTAACCTTATTAATTACTTAACAAGCTTTTTCTAGTTTGTTACTTATTACTATATAGACAATATATACAACACTAAACATAAAAAAAAATATGAACTCTATCCTTCACAAAAAATTAACAATATAAAGGCTTATAAACAAATAAAAGATATTTACACTGTAAGAATATTCTGCCCTAAAAATTCACCTGGAGTTTTGCACATGAGGCACTGGTTTATATTATACATTCCCAACTTTAAAGGAAAACAAATTCCTTTTGGAAGAACTCAGTAAAAACTCATTATTGCCTCCGGGGATAACTGATCTAACATTAATGATCTTATAACTGATCCGAGGCATCTGCCCAGCCTGTAGAGCGAGTCAGTCAATCTCAAGTCAAGTCAAGTCAAGAGGCTTTTACTGTCATTCCATCTGTGTACGAGTACACAGTGGAGTGAAATTACGATCCTCCAGGACCAACACGGTGCAACACGGAACAAAATAGACAGTACAAAGTGTGAACGTGCAGACATAAGTGTGCAAAACATTAAACTAGAAACAATAAATATGATAAATTAAACAGACATTAGACACAGTAAACAGACAGGACAGAGCAGCACCAACACAGCTCTTATTTTCAGCTCCACCAAATCTGTTTACTGTCAGTTTAAAGCTCATTTCAGGCCAAACTCCTCCCTCCTCCTGCCTCAGGGTGAGGAGTTGGAAGCTTGATGATGAATCATTCAACCGCGTGTCGCTCAGTAACTTCAGTTTTCACTGCTTTGTTATTTACAGATTTTAAAGATCTTGTTTTTGTAAAAAAAAAAAAAAAGAAAGAAAGAAACAGGTCCCACTTCCTCAGTGTGTGCAGACATACTGAAAGAGCTACAGGCTGAACGAGGCTTCTCTCTTCCTCATTAGGTGCAGTTTCAATACCGCGAAACTTGGCCCAAGTCATGCTAACACCAAAAAAAGGTCTAAACAGACGCACATTAAACACTGCTTCAGTTTATAAGCTTGGCCTATGTTATGCTTCACCAAAAGAGAGTGCATATAAGCAAAATAAGCACCACTTTTTTAATTACTAAGATTGGCCCAAAAATACTAAATATAAACAAATTAAACACTGCTTTGGTTATTAAGCCTGGTCTAAGTCATGTTAATACCCAAAAAAGACTAAACAGATGCAAATTAAACACTGCTTTGGTTATTAATTATTAATTATGCTCAAACCATGCTAACACCAACAAAAGTCTAAATAGAAGCAACTTAAACACTGCTTTGGTTACTAAGCTTTTTCTAAGTCACGCTGCACCAAGAGACTACATATAAGCAAATTAAACACTGCTTTGATTTCTAAAATCGGCCCAAAAACACTTAATAGACGCACATTAAATACTGTTTGGGTTACTAAACATGGCCAAAGTTATGCCAACACCAAAAAAGACTAAACCAGAGCAAATTAAACACTGCTTTGGTTATTAATTATGGCTCAAATCATGTTAACACTAACAAAAGTCTAAATAGAGGCAAATTAAACACTGCTTTGCTTAATAAGCTTGAGTTAAGTTATGCTACACCAAAAAAGACTACATATAAGCAAATTAACACCAAGATCAGCCCAAAAAGACTAAAGAGATTGGAATGAAACACTGCTTTGGTTACTAAGATTTGCCCAAATCATGCTAATGCTAAAAATGCTAAATAGAAGCAAACTAAACACTACTTTGTTTGGCCTAATTTAATGCAAACACAAAAATAGACTAAAAAGAAGTAAATTAAACACTGCTTTGGTTATTAAGCTTGGCCCAAGTAATGCTAACAACAACATAGACTAAATAAACCATGCAAATTAAACACTACTTTGATTACTAAGATTGGCCCAAAAAGCTTGGCCCAAATCATGCTAACATTAAAATGAACTAAATAAACACAAATTAGACACTACTTTGGTTATTAGGTTTGGTCTTAAGTCATGCTAACATCAAAACCGACTAAATAAATACAAATTGAACTTTGGTAGTTGAGCTTGGCCCAGATCATGCTAACTCCAACAAAGACTAAATAGAAGTAAAATTAAATGCTGCTTTGGTTAATCTTGGTTTAAGTCATGCTAACACCAAACACTAACTGACACGGACTAAACGGTTTTGCGGATTTTGATCAACAACAAAAACTAGACTATGCAGACTAAACAGCAGCTGAGGGGGTTTAGCGCAGTCATGCTAACTCCTGTAACTACATGTACATGTGCAGTTAAACTGTAATCTGTGTTGTCCGCTGAGATTAAAGACCACAGCTGAGTTATCTGTTAAATATTAGTCAGAATAGACGACCCTGAGAGGAGCAGACGTGACATGAAGTAGGTTAGACGTGCACAGTGATAAGAAACAGATCACAATCAGCTTTTACTGTCTGCCTGCTGCGCTTTCTTTCCACTGATCTGCTGTGTTGGAGCTTTTATGAGCTCCTTGCCCTGTTCACCACTATAAGACTCAGCTCAGAGTGATTAGTAACTCTTAGCGCACTATCAGCAATTTCTCTCTTATTTATTTCCACTGATGTGCATCTGTAGATGGTCAGTTTGCCTTTGTGCTGACAGAGGAAACCATGTGAGCTGCTCCAAAGGTTAACTGGAGACAAGGCGAAGGCAAGTCGGAGCACGGAGAAACGCTGAGATAAACAACCCTTCAATGGCCAAACTGCGGCTTACTCACACTTACACTTACTTTAGTGTGCACTAAAGTAAAACTGTATCAGTGATACAGCACAGATGCAAAGTTATTGATTAGTTTATTAAACATATTTTTATACAGTAAAGGAATTTGTATCATATTTACACACTGCTGCTGTTTTAGCCTGATCACAAGATAAAAGCCAAACATCAGGCCTCCTGTAAGAACAACACAACAGTGATAATACAAAAAGTGCCTTGGTAAAGGGGAATTCCACCCATTTTCCTAAATTTCCTCCATAATTCAGTGTGTGAGATGTAAACAGAGAGATTCAGAGTGGGTTTGGTGTGAAATGGTTCAGATGTCTTTACAGTGGTGGTGATAGGAACCAGGGGTCGCCATGACTACAACACAGATATAGACATTTTATTTACTATCCAGAACCACCAGTGAACCTACACGAGTCTTCTGAGTTCATATGGAATGTTGATGATGGAAAATAGTGGAAAATCTGAAATAATAAGCTTTCTTTGGGGACTATTTTGCCTCACAGCGCCCTGCATGTATCCCTCCACCATGAATACACTGCAAAAAACAACATACTGTCAAGTGAAATTATTTAAAATAAAGTCAGTGTGTCTAATATTTCTCATGTTGAGCTTGTTTAGCTTATTATACAATTATGTAAGTTATTTCCAGACTTTTATTAAGTAAATCGATCTCACTGTTTTGTCAAGTGTTTCTTAAAACAAGCAAGATTATCTGCCACTATAGTGAGAAATGAATTAAAAGAAGTAGAAAAAAGCTAAATGATCTAATAATATGCTTCCAACAGTCTCAACATGAGAAATACTCCATACAGTGTCTCAGTCATCAGGCAGTGAATTCATAACCATTTCTGTGAGGGAGCTTTTAGAGGTGGACGTCTGGTTCCTATCACCACCACTGTGAACAGTTCTGACTCGGTAAGTTTATCTAGAACAGAGCATTTCACACCAAACCGCTCTGAACCTCTCTGTTTACATCTTAATCATCAAATTATGCAGAAATTTTGGAAAGTGGGTGGAGTTGCCCTTTAAGACACCGTGTATGAGGATGTGTTGAGTGATTTAAGCTGCTGGATCTGCGGTTTATCTCAGGCTGTTATTGTTTCAGCTGCAGCAGGAAACTCCAAAAGTTTCATCACAGCAGGAGAAGTGCTGACTCGGCGCTCAGAGCGGAGAAAACAGAACCGGCAGGGTTTATCTAGAACACAACGTTCAGCATTTGGTCTGATATTCCAGCTCTAGTCTGAACTGCAAGCTTCAGGGAGTCGGTGCTGCTCTGACCCCACGGGAGGAAAACAAGGAATGCTAAAATATTTAACCCTTCAGCTTCTGGAGAGCTTCTGTTTTTTGGTGAAATGTAGAAAACAAGCACTTTTAAAAGTTTTTCATTGCTCCTCTTCCAAAATTATACCAATAACAATAATAGTGTCACAATTACTGTAACGTTTTATTAATATGCACCTTCTGTGGATCCAAAGTTGCTTCACTAAACAGTACAAATTTATTCAAAAGTTTAAAATCATACATTAATATTTTTAATATACAATAATAACTTTTACAGTGTGGAACTGAAACATTACTATTCACCAAAAAGTGCTTTTTGTTCAATATTATTAGACATCTGTATTATTTAATGATAAAAATGTGCTATAATCATCTATTTACATGATTCTTTTTTAGTTTAGTGCCTTAATCTGTCAAAATATAACAAATTTTACACATTATTCTTATTCTACCTTCATTTTTTTAATGTTTTACAGGTTCTACAGCTCTGTTCACCATCCCGGAGACTACACAACTGCAGACTGCAATCATTTTATACATTTATTCACAAATAAACTAATTTTTTTTTATGGAAAACACTAGCTCTGACCAAACAATGATAAATAAACAAGTAAAAGACAGCAAGATATTAATATACAAAGCCCAGTGCAGTGTGTGGAGTACAGAGTGTGTGTGGAAATGCTGGATTCATGACTGTGACACAGAAAAAGCTTAAACAGCTCCAGTTTTTGTCTAGTTCTGCTTCATCACTCAGTTAAATGGTCACTGGAACGTACACAGTAACTCGTTTGCGCAACATGTTTGGGTTAAAAGTGAGTTATTGGGCCTGAAAGTGGGCGGAGCCTGGTGGGAACTTTGCCCCGGAGCGAGCGGAGAAAAACAAGCGCAGTATAAATAACAGCGGTGGGGGGAGGAGGGGACAGTTTATCTGAAACAGCTGCAGAGGAGCCCTACAGAGAGGATTCTGGGACAAAACAAGTAAGATTAGAGCTCTTTTATAACTTTTACTCAGACTGGAGGAAATAAGACGAACATAAACAGTGATTATCAACACATCAGAGTAAAACACGCAGAGAACTCTGGGTCTTCGACACTGCGAGCTGGTGTTTTTGTCGTTATTGACTTACAGACCGACTTCGTGGAGCTGAAGCTCTACATTATCAGCGTTTCTGACCAAACTGACTGTTTCTGTTTAAAACAAGCAGCTGGTGCTACGGAGAGATTCAGGATCCTTTACTGACACAGCAACAGCCTGACGCTCCGCATGTGTGTTTAGGTCCATAATAAACAGTAAACAGTAACGTAAACAACAAAAAGACAAAAGAGTGATATTAGAGACGTATAAAGTGTGATTAATAATGAACATTAACTACTGTGGTTTGGGTTTAGGAGTGAAAATACTGCAGAATAGAAGTGCAAACAGGTGCAAATGAGCAAGATAAACATTAAAATAGTGCAAATACAGCACAGAGTGGTGAAATAACAGTGAATGTGATATTAATGGTGTATGGGGAGGGAAACTGCGCCATCTGCTGGCTGAGTTTAAAACATTTTGAATCACCATTCATGTCACTGTAGGGAAATCACTTTTCTGAAGCAGATATTTTGTTGCATCATCTTTGTTTTATTAGATCTCATTAAAAAACTATGTTCTGTGTTTTTACTGTAGTTAATCACTGGGGCGTTAACATATATAACTCATATATAACTGAATATGAGAGCATGTTATGTTGTACAGCCTGTAATGCTCATCACCTTCAATTCAGTCTTTACCTACATTTTGGACACAATCAGCATGATCTCATTCCCATGCCTTACTAAGCTGTGGCCACGACTTACGTATCTCATTCCTACGCCTTACTAAGTCGTGGCCACAACTTGCGTATCTCATTACTATGCCTTACTAAGTCATGGCCACAACTTATGGATCTCATTCCCCCAGGTTAATAAGCTGTGGCCACTCATTGTTTTTATTATTATGGGATGTCACCTGCAGGGCTCCTTAGTGTTGCTATGTGCTAGCTAGGCTATTCTTGCTAATAGCTAATCGCAGTATACCTGATATGAGGTGTTCTGGGTGACAGGGGTCAAAGGTCATTTCTGAACTAAACTAATGGAGCTAAACCAGCCAGCTAGCTTTAAAGCTAATGCTAAACTCACTCGTTGCCTGTGTGTGTGTTTGTGTATGTCTGTGTGTGTGTGTGTGTGTGTGTAGGGTCTGAGAAGGGCAGAGATGTGGGCGGGGCTCAGTGTGGCCCTGGCTCTCTGCGTGCTGGCGGGCTGCAGCGCAGAGAGTGAGCCTGATGGAGCCCGCTGTAAAACGGCGGCGGAGTGGAAGATCGGAGAGATGGAGCCGCTGAAGGAGAGCCTCGGCCGAGTGACCGTGGTGGCCTTTCTCCAGGCCAGCTGATTGTTCTGCCTGGTGCAGGCGTCCAAGTAAGTGCACACTAGTGTCACACACTTCACTACGTCCACCTCCTCGTATCTACACTCACTGTCCACTTTATCAGCTTCACTGACCGCATAGTTTCAGTCTGTAGTTCTACAGTTACAGACTGTAGTCCATCTGTTTCTCTGATACTTTGTTAGCCCCCTTTTACCCTGTTCTTCAGTGGTCAGGACCCCCATGGACCCCACAGAGCAGGTACTGTTTGGGTGGTGGATCATTCTCAGCACTGCAGTGACACTGACGTGGTGGTGGTGTGTTAGTGTGTGTTGTGCTGGTCTGAGTGAATCAGACACAGCAGTGCTGCTGGAGTTTTTAAACACTGTGTCCACTCACTGTCCACTCTATTAGACACTCCTACCTTGTCAGTCCACCTTGTAGATGTAAAGTCAGAGACGATAGCTCATCTGCTGCTGCACAGTTTGTGTTGGTCATCCTCTAGTCCTTCATCAGTGGTCACAGGACGCTGCCCACAGGACACTGTTGGCTGGATGTTTTTGGTTGTTGGACTATTCACAGTCCAGCAGTGACACTGAGGTGTTTAAAGACTCCAGCAGCACTGCTGTGTCTGATCCACTTGCACCAGCGCACAATTTTGGACGTTACAGTTTTTTCAAGTTGATGACGTCCGAATGCACCTAAAGTGTACGCTGGCTTCCAATTCACCACCTTCCTATTCAAGTTGTCCGTTCCACCTTAAATGCCTCAGGCACCAGAATGTAACCGCTGCACTATTTAAGGTGGAACGGACAATTCTAATAAGAAGCTGACAAACAGGAAGTCAGCTTTGCTAACACGTTTGAGGCGAGCTTGTGCTGATTTAGGCATGCAGTTAGCACCATGCTAAGAGGCCCTTTTCACATTTCTATTTTTTTTTTGGCTGGAGGTTCTCGTCTTCCGCTAAAGCAACGGCGATAACAGCGATTACCAGCAGAGCCTGTACAGCTCACTCAAGTGTTCAAGCCCAAAGCAAAACAGCCTTTTTGTGAAATAAACTTTGTCAAACGAAGTAAAAGAAGCTCTGTGTCAGCATTTTAGCACTGCTGAGAAACGTTAGACTGAATGCGGTTTGTGCTTTAAAGTTGCTGCTGCAGCCGCTTTCAGAGGAACAGTTTTCTTTCCCCTCTAAAGCTGTCGGTATCTGAGAGAGCGAGAACTCAGGAGGGAGTAGATGGAGCCAGTGTTTGTGGAAAACATCTACAGTGGCGCTACAGACCCTGACGACCTGACGCCCCCCACGCCAGGATGTGTGTGTGCTTAGTTTTTTGCAATTACGCACTTAGCTTTCGTGATAAAAGGGCCTGTTGGTGAAGAATAAGCTTCTATTACTTGTTATCTAAATTAGCCTCACAGCTTCGGTGCTAAAACTAAAGAACTTCTGACACCAAACGTGTCTTTGCTGAGCGACAAACATTTGGAGTAGATTTGATTTTCCAACAAACTTTCTCTTTGACTGTGCACAGACTGGACAGCCTGCGCCTGAAGCTGGAGAAGTTGGGATACGCTAACATCACGTACATCGTGGTCAACAGCCAGGATAAGGATTCCCGGCGGCTGCATTCCCTCCTGGAGCAGAGGCTTTCCGAAAACATCATCCTCTACGCCCAGGAGCCGGAGGCACCGGACGTTTGGCAAATAGCCAACGTGATGAAGGATGACTTTCAGATCTATGACAGGTTAGCTTCCGCTGCTAACGTCTTAGCTTATTAGCTCTAGGGTTATTAGCTAAGGTATGTAGATTAGCATAAAGCCATCCTTCAGTAAACACAATTAGATAATGACTGAATGATTGAGTGTCCACTATGAACTATTCAGTATCTACTATTAATTATTCTGTGTCCACTATGAATTATTCAGTATCTACTATGAATTATTCAGTGTCCACTATTAATTATTCACTGTCTACTATGAATTATTCAGTATTTACTAGGAATTATTCAGTATCTACTATGAATTATTCAGTATCTACCATGAATTATTCAGTATATACTATTAATTATTCAGTATTTACTAGGAATTATTCAGTATCTACTATGAATTATTCAGTGTCCACTATGAATTATTCAGTATCTACTATGAATTATTCAGTATCTACCATGAATTATTCAGTATCTACTATGAATTATTCAGTATATACTATTAATTTTTCACTATCTACTATGAATTATTCAGTATCCACTTTGAATAATTCAGTATCCACTATGAATTGTTCAGTATATACTATGAATTATTCAGTATATACTATTAATTATTCACTATCTACTATTAATTATTCAATATCTACTATGAATTATTCAGTATCTACTATGAATTATTCAGTGTCCACTAGGAATTATTCTGTGTCTACTATGAATTATTCAGTGTCCACTATGAATTATTCAGTATCTACTATGAATTATTCAGTATATACCATGAATTATTCAGTATATACCATGAATTATTCAGTATATACTATTAATTATTCACTATCTACTATGAATTATTCAGTATCCACTTTGAATAATTCAGTATATACTATGAATTGTTCAGTATATACTATGAATTATTCAGTATATACTATTAATTATTCAATATCTACTATGAATTATTCACTATCTACTATGAATTATTCAGTATCTACTATGAATTATTCTGTGTCCACTGTGAATTATTCAGTATCTACTATGAATTATTCAGTGTCCACTAGGAATTATTCTGTGTCCACTATGAATTATTCAGTATCTACTATGAATTATTCAGTGTCCACTATTAATTATTCACTGTCTACTATGAATTATTCAATATCTACTATGTATTATTCAGCATCTACTATGAATTATTCAGTATCCACTCTGAATTATTCAGTATACACTATGGAATATTCATTAACTACTATAATTTATTCAGTAGCTATAGTGACTGAGTTTTAGAGACTGTATTTCTCTTGTTTTTGTTCAGGTGTGGTCGTCTTACATCCCACCTGTCGCTGCCCTACACCATCCTGAGTCAGCCATATGTGGAGAACGCCATCAGAATGACCTACTGTGATGGAATCTGTGGAGAGTGCCCGATGGAGGTGAACCACAGCGCAGCATGTGTTTGTTTTACGTAGTACTGTTAGATTTAGTGTGTGTTGTGCTGGTCTGAGTGGATCAGACACAGCAGTGCTGCTGGAGTTTTTAAACACTGTGTCCACTCACTGTCCACTCTATTAGACACTCCTACCTTGTCAGTTCACCTTGTAGATGTAAAGTCAGAGATGATAGCTCATCTGCTGCTGCACAGTTTGTGTTGGTCATCCTCTAGTCCTTCATCAGTGGTCACAGGACGCTGCCCACAGGACGCTGTTGGCTGGATATTTTTGGTTGGTGGACTATTCTCAGTCCAGCAGTGACACTGAGGTGTTTAAAGACTCCAGCAGCACTGCTGTGTCTGATCCACTTGCACCAGCGCACAATTTTGGACGTTACAGTTTTTTTCAAGTTGATGACGTCCGAATGCACCTAAAGTGTACGCTGGCTTCCAATTCACCACCTTCCTATTCAAGTTGTCCGTTCCACCTTAAATGCCTCAGGCACCAGAATGTAACTGCTGCACTATTTAAGGTGGAACGGACAATTCTAAAAAGAAGCTGACAAACAGGAAGTCAGCTTTGCTAACACGTTTGAGGCGAGCTTGTGCTGATTTAGGCATGCAGTTAGCACCATGCTAAGAGGCCCTTTTCACATTTCTGTTTTTTTTTTGGCTGGAGGTTCTCGTCTTCCGCTAAAGCAACGGCGATAACAGCGATTACTAGCAGAGCCTGTACAGCTCACTCAAGTGTTCAAGCCCAAAGCAAAACAGCCTTTTTGTGAAATAAACTTTTCAAACAAAGTAAAAGAAGCTCTGTGTCAGCATTTTAGCACTGCTGAGAAACGTTAGACTGAATGCGGTTTGTGCTTTAAAGTTGCTGCTGCAGCCGCTTTCAGAGGAACAGTTTTCTTTCCCCTCATTAAAGACGTTATGATCTGAAGGCTTTTGCTTAAAAGCATAAAACATAAATAGCAAGATTGGTGTGTGAATTTATTTTCAAGGCGAAAATGTTACAAACTGTTTTAAAACTTACTGCATTTGAGATTTTCAGGTATTTAAGTTGGCAGAATGTAAACCCTGAACTCAGACAGTGTGTCGTAATTGTTGTAAGAAAACCTTTGATCTCTGAAACGATGCGTGTACGGTAGAAAGAAAAACTATGATCTGAAAATTAAAGTCATTTTGGACCATTTTTGTAGGTCCATTCATTATTAAATGATCACACACTGTAAAGAACAGCTGGCGTTGTGCACTCAGCTGACAGATGGCCTTAAAAAGCTTTTCTTATGTCAGAAACGATTTGTAATGAACCATAACCAGTGTGAACTGACATGCTGTCTGTCGCAGAGCTCCATTCGACCCCAGGAGTGCAATGCAACAGTCGAAGAAAAGCCTGAAGAGGAAACTCCCAGAGCAGAAGAGGAGGGGGCAGGGCATAGCCACTCACCTGGGAGAGGTCATGGTCACCACGGTCACCACGGTCACCATGGACATCACCATGGCCACCAAAGAGGTCAACACAGAGGTCACCATGGCAGTGGGGGAACGCACAGTCACGAAGGCTCTGATCACCAGCATGGCCACCAGGGTCAGGTTGTTATTAGCCAGGTGCAAAGGGGTCAGGTGGGATCAGGCCACGCCCACAAACATGTGGATTTGGGGCAGGTAGGGCTGAGGCAGGTTGACCTGGGGCTTGACTTCGATCAAGTAGTGATGCACCAGCCATGATCCAAGCGCTCCAGGTGAAAGGTCCAGTTCAGCTGACAGCAGGGGGCGCTGTCCCCTGCCACCAGCTGATGCTGACACTGACGGCGGCTGCTCGGCGGTCAGTCTGACGCTCCGGCCGCTCTCTGACACTGCGAGGAGCCGCTCGCCGCCTCCTGACAGTGACAAGGGCTCACGGCGGACGACAATCACATCAGGGAAACCTGACAGTGACGCTCCGCCTCCGTGGCCGAATGACAGCCGCCACAGTCAGTCGCCTGAGCCTGACCTGCAGGGGAGAGCCAATGAGAGTGACAGGAGGTCTAAGCAGGGACACACCCCGCTTTTATACTCCTGCTCACATTCAGATGGGCTGTAGTAACATCACCCTGCAGTGTCCTGCGCTCCAGTATGAATTAGCCAATTAGTATTGACACCTCAGTGCTCCGCAGCGATGGACCTTCAGGTTCTATAGAGTCAAACAAGCAAACGATGCCGCCAGGCCAGTGACAACAAAGGCTGATTGATAAGAACTCCAGTGGCAATTATTCATGATAGTTACTTTTGATTGGCTCTGATAGATTTAATTCAACATCTGCTGATGGTTCAAAATAACAGGCAAATCAGGATTGACTGAAAACTGAATTAGCATGAATTTAATGTCTGCTAACGGTTCAAAATAGCATGCAAATCAACATTGACTGCGAAGTACATTAGCCTGAATTTAACATCTGCTAATGGTTTAAAACAGCAGGCAAATCAGGATTGACTGTGAACTGAATTAGCATGAATTTAACCTCAACTAGTGGTTCAAAATAGCACAGCATTGACTCTGAGCTGAGTTAGCATGAATTTAACATTGGCTAACAGTGCTCAATACTTTTAAATTTAGCTACAGCATGATTAGCATGAACTTAACATGGACTAAAGAGTTCAAAATGCATTGAACCTTGACTGTACTGAGTTAACATGAATCTGACATTGGCTAGTAGTTCATATTAGCATGCATTTAACGTTGGCTCTGTACTGAGTAGCATTGGGCATAGCCAATGTTGAACACCTGCTATTATGAACTACTAACCAATGTGAAATACATGCTAACTCACTACACAGCCAGTGTTGAATGCATGACATAATGAACTGTTAGCCAGTGTTAAATGCAGGCTAAGTCAGTACACAGGCAGTGTTAAATGAAAGCTATTATGAACCACTAGCCTATGCTAAAGGCATGCTAACTCACTATGCAGCCAGTGTGGAATGCATGCTATTCTGATCTGTTAGCCAGCGCTAAATACATGCTAAGTCGGTACATAGTTAATGCTAAGTGCTGCTCTGAGCCATTAGTTTCGGTCCGTTGCCGTGTGCTGAGTGTGTTCCGTGCGGTGATGCTGCTGTTGTTTCCTCCCCGATTAGCTCTGATTAGCTTCCATGAGGCCAGGCGCAGAAACTACGCACTAGTGGCGCCTGTCTGATCTTCAGCCAATCAGAGAGGAGAGGGAAGACCAGGCAACACGCCGCACTCACAAGCTACGAACATCAGCTTGATTTATTTTAAACGTCAGATTTTTATGATACGCTAGCAGATATAGCACATAGTATAGTATAGTATTGTATAGTATAGTATGCAAATATAATCCGAGATGCTGCTTTAGTAGATTTGCCTGCATTGAATTCACTTAATTCAAATATGATCAATATTTCCACATGAATAAAGCATATTAAATCAACTTAATTAGTGCAAACAGTGAGTAAACTGACAGATCTGTGTTGATATAATGGAATTTGTTCATGTGGAAATGATGAACACATTTGAGTCTGGTCAGTTCAGTGCAGTGTAGTAGATGTATATCATTTATAATGCAGTGCAGTCAATAGGCCTCAGTTAGTAAAGCAGATATAAAGGTGTAATATTGCACACTGAACACTGGGAAAGCATTATTGGACACATGTCGATGCAGTATGAGGGCATTAGACACAGTTACTGTTCTACACTGATTAGAAACACATCGAGAGACGAGAGAGACGACAGAGAGGAGCTAAAACATTTTGAATACTTAATGAAGGTGTTCTGGAAAACCTCTTTAAAGCTGGAAAACCTGATAAACTGTATGAGAAATGTTGTTGCTGTTGGACTCTGAGGGACAAACGAGTGTAAAACGATGTGAAAGAAACTTTTTTCTGCAATAAAGACAGATTTGTATGAAGTCTGTGTCTCAAATCAGTCAACACTGCTTTACTCTCTGCTTCACTCTGTGAGTTCAGGTAAAGTGGGACACCCACAGTGCTGTGCAAAAGTTAGAGACCCCCCCTTCATTTATTTAACTTCATCTCAAAACAGGCATTAAGTGCAAGATGTTCATTTCAAAGCAAAACAAGGGGAGATTCCAAAAAATTATTAAAAGATAAAATGGGACCCCTAACAACCACCCGTAAGACCTGGTAGCAGGGTTATAATACTTCACTAAAACTGTCACTGAAATGAAAACTGCAGTGAAAAAATGTCCTGATTAAGTGTAAAAATAAAAAAAAGTGTAAAAATAAAAATGACACTTTTCAAAAATGCACAAACTAAGTAAAAACTCTGTCTGCAAAACTGACTAAAATTAAGTAGAATTACTGAGAAAAAAGCTTCGTTTCAGTGTGAATCTGAGTTTAGAGGTGTGTTTGTGTTCAGTCCTTAAGTAAAGCTGGAGCCGAGCTGAGCTCAGTTTACTGCTGTGTTCATTTTATTCCACAACTATAAAATACTTCATCATAACACGATAAACTAAAACACAAACTAAATAAAAACTCAACTAAAACTATTACTTTTTGGAAAATAAAATCAAAGCTAAAACTGTTTATGCACCAAATTAAAACTGAAATTAAAAAACAAACAAAATGAATAATTAAATACAAATTTTAAAAATCATAAAAATGAAAAACTATTATAACCCTGCCTGGTAGACAGACAAAACTGTCCCCATCAACACTGAAAACAATCAGCGTCGAAAAAGAAGGAAAGAAAAGCAAATCAAGGAAAAAAGGTACTTTAAATTATCAGCCAATGGTGAAATTTTATTTGGTATGATTTCTTAAAATAAACAAAAAAGGTCTTTCGAATCTAAAAATCAGAGAATGTTTCGTTGTTTTAAGGCATCCTGTCTGGATTTATGGAACAATGAACTGATCTGGTGTTATAATAAAAATAATAATAAAAATGAGCAGAACTACACTCTTAAAAAGACGGTTCTTTTAAGTGTTCTCTCTAAAGGGAGTGGTTCTGTTTTGTTGTATATGGTTCTATATAGTATCAAAAAGGGTTTGCTGTAGTTACGATGTCAAGCTTGTTACAGTAGCAGAACCCTTTTTGGTGCTATACAGAACAATATACAACACATTCATGGATCTAAATAGAACCGTTCTCTTTACTAAAGAACCCTTGAAGTTGTTGTATAAGATGATAAAGTGAGACTTCTGTCCAGTTAAATCCTTAAAATGAGTAAAGCTGTGTGGAAATTTCCTCTTTCAGAATGAAAGAGAAAAAAGTTTCTTATTTCATTTTAAAATGAAATAAAATCTACAATAATAGTGGAAAATCTGAAATAATAAGTTTTCTTTGGGGACTATTTTGCCTCACAGCGCCCTGCATGTATCCCTCCACCATGAACGGAGTTTAAGTTCTCTAAACTATCATAAAACAGTGTCTCAGTCATCAGGCAGTGAATTCATAACCATTTCATGTAGGAACTTTCTGTGAGGGAGCTTTTAGAGGGGGACGTCTGGTTCCTATCACCACCACTGTGAACAGTTCTGACTCGGTAAGTTTATCTAGAGCGCAGAACCTCTCTGAATGACTCTGTTTACATCTTAACCACTTAATTAAAGAGAAATTTTGTGGAATTCCCCTTTAAACTATTGCACTTTGTAACTCCTAGATACTTTATTTTTTTATTTTTATTGTTTTTCACTGTATGTAACTTGCTGTGCCTCAATACTGAAAAATTAGATATTATATTTAGTAGTTATGTAATTTTTCCATTACATTTATGTTGTTTTGACCCACTTTTTTCCTTTTGGTCTTACGAGAGCTTTTAATTTTCCTTCTGATGACTCAAAGTTCCCTGTCCAGTTCCCCTGCAGCTGCTGCTGGTTTGAGTTTTGGCCTTAGGCCTCATGCCTGCACTGCAGTCTGTCAGTCTGTCACCGCCAGGTGGCGCCCTCAGCCCCCTTTTCCGCGCGCTGCAAGCAGCCCCTGCATGAGCCCCACCGGAAGTGGAGGCAGGGAGAGAGATCTGCCTGTTTGTAGTGTTTACTGGGTGGTCAGATCTGCTGGTCATTAAGTTGCGGTCCAGTTTCTTCTCTCAGGTCCTTCATGGAGGAGCATGAGAAGCGTTTTATACCTAATATTTGAACTTGCTGGCCTGTTTAAAGCCTTATTCTCTCCCTGTGGTCTGCAGGCCGGACAGTCTGGATCACAAACATAATGTTCACTTTAACTCCAGCAGTCAATAAAACACCAGGGAGTGGACAAAATAACAGAAACACAAACATCACCTGGCTCATAAGGAGCCTGTGGAGTCCCAAACTGTCCCAAACACTGAGATGTTGGAGGTTTCATCAAGAAAAACCTGAAGAAGTTCACTTTTCATCGCAGAGCAGCTCAGAGATGTTTACGTCTGGTGGATGGGGGGGGGGGCGGTTCGCCTCCATCCGTGTTTATGAAGCTACTTGTGAGTCTGCAGAGCCGTGTATGGAGACGTTATCATATCAGAACATGGGAGAAGATGAAACTCGGCCTGGTGTTATATAATCCCGCGGAGCCGAGATGGGCCGCCAGCTCCCTCATAAATCCACCACCATCTTTAACAGCTGATAAAACATTGTATTACTGTTTTCCATAGAAGCCCATTCCTGCCAGGTAGAGGAGAAACATCACCTGCGCTCTCTCCCTCTGTACAACCTCAGAACAAACACTCGTTTTCTCAAAACATTTGATTAGTACTTTGAAATAATGACACGCTGTGGCAAAACAACCTAAAATAATTCATCAAATTAATGACCATGTAAGAATAAAACTTTATTCTCTACTTTTAGTCTTAATGTCTTGAAATAAAGACTTTTTTCTCAAAATATTGTTGCAGTGTCTTGAAATAGATAATACACTTATAAATAATAACGACTTATTTTCTCACAATATTGTGTAACTATCCTGAAATGATTTACTATGTCAAAATAATGGCAACTTTTTACTTTATATCTCCAAATAACGAGTATGTTAAAATAAAGACTTGTATTCTCAAAGTATTGACTTGGAATCTTTGATAATTATTAATTTTCTCAAATTTTTGTCTTATCTCAAAATAATGACTTATTTTCTCAGGATTTTGACTTAGTATCCCAAAACAATGATTTACTACGTGAAAATGATCTATATAATAATTTTTAAAAATATTGTTTTAGTGTCTCAAAATAATGACTATGTTGAAATAAAGATTAATATTCTCAAAACGTAGTTTCCTGAAATAATTACTCACTTTCTTGAAATTTTAGTAGGTCATTATTTTGACATGGTAAGTCATCATTTCGGGATACTAAGTGAATTTTTTACGTACTGCTGATAGAAACATGTTTTGTTCCTCCTCTGTTTGGCAGGAATGGGCTTCCGCACTTCTCCTCACGTGAACCTGTGTGGATGTAGATGTTCAGAGCGCGGGTCTGAGATACAGCTGTGTCTGTGTTACAGCAGACTCTGTTCCTCTGCTGTGGAGTTTACCAGTGTTTTGCATTCGGTCATGTTTTTGAGTCGATTCTCCTGGACATAAATCATTTTGACATATATAATTTGGACATAAATGGTTTTGACGTATTATTTTGCAGTTTTTGAGCTGAATGTAAAGCAGTAAGGCCTCTATTTTGCCTCTTTAAAACACTATCATTTGTCTAATTACACCTAAAAATTCCCATATTGAAGTATTGATATTTATTGCTCTAATAGAGACACACTGAGCTACCTGGCATTTAACCAGACATGACTCACCTGTACAGCAGCGCTTATATCTGTATATACATATGTATACATACATATATATATACATCTGTATATATATATGTATGTATGTATGTATGTGTGTGTATATATATATATATATATATAGATATATATATATATATATATATATATTTATATATATATTTATATAGATATATAAATTTATAAATCTCTGTGATTCATAGTTCCTTTTGTTGCTGCTGTAACTCTATAAGTTCTTTTGGTGTTAATGAAGTATCTATGTATCTGTCTGTCTACCTGTCTGTCTATCTGCCTGTCTGTCTGTCTGTCTTTCTATCTATCTGTCTGAACCCTTTAACTCTGATCAACACCCTTCAATTCTGATACAGACCTTTCAATTCTGATATGAACCCATTAATTAATCCTAATATGGACCCTTTAACTTTACAGGCCCTTTAATTATGATATAAACCCCTTAATTATGACATAAACCCCTTAATTATGATATAAACCCTTTAATTATGATATAAACCCCTTAATTATGATATAAACCCCTTAATTATGATATGGACTCCTTAACTCTGATACAGGCCCTTTAACTTTGCCAGTGTAGTTTATCCATGTTTGGCATTTGGTGTCATCATTTTTGGGTCCATTTTCCTCAGTTCTTTAGGGATATTTGGGTTTTTTATGGTGCTGAATTTGTGGCCTGACCATTATGCCTCTTTTGGAGCCATTCTGTTCAACAACCACCTGTATTATGACGTTCTGAGGCCACACAGTGCTGATGAACACATCAGTCAGATAAGACTCACCTGTTACCTGCCTTCGTGGTTGTGATTTAGTTACATAAAAGTTAAAAATCTTTTTTTTTTTACTGTTTCTATTATTTTGTCCACCCCAATACATATATTTTAACTCCTAATCTTGTTTAAATACTGTGGATTTCACAAATCCAGCTCCGCTCTGTCTCCCCTCTGTCTGTCGCCGGCCGTGCGGAACCTGAGCAAACACCGTCCAGCACGGCACATTTGGACAGAGGAAAAGGTCAACGAGCACACAGAGGCAATAAAAAGGCCGGAGTGGGCGGCTTGATATGCGTAATTGGCCTGAAGATCCAATACAGAGGAGCCGAGGCTTATGGGCAATTACCTGCAATGTCCTGAGAAGTGGAGTGCGTGAGAGGCTTCCTCAGATTCAATCAGCTCCACG